TGGCTCTGAAACTGAGACAGATGGGCAGAAAGTGTATGAGTGTCACATGCAAAGCAAGCTCATATTCCATCATCTAACATTTCACATAATTGCTCCTCATTTGTATCACATGCACCATAAATCACCATGACACACGACGAGTCCATTTTGAGTTTTTTACCACATCATTACCAGTTTAAGTCTTGAGGAAGAAGTTCAGCATGGACTATAAAAAAAATACAGTTTATCTAAAAAAGTGCTCCATGAACCTGCAGTTAACATGTCTAAACATGCAAGCTAAAGACGGTCCTCAAACATTTGTGCTAAACTGGTAAAACTGTCCCAGATAATTTGAAAATTATTTTCAACTTGGTATTTATGGCTACCCAGTTACAAAAAAAGAGCTTTACATAAAATACTCTTAGCAAACTGAAAAGCTGTTTTTCAGTATTTTGGCCACTTCACCCTAAGGTCCATGCCCACTCCAGAGCGGGCATCGACATAACAGATTTAAGGGCTAATGCGACAAAAATGGCAGCATGCTGAGTGCTCATTTCACCTGGGTTGGACAGCACAGACTTCAAACTCTATAAAAATAGTGTTTTTATGTTGTTTTTGTTTTTTTTTATTTGCTTCCAAATCAAAACAGATTTATGATAAATAATTTTCGTCATAATTTTGTGAGCATTTTTTTATGCATTTACTGCACATTCAGTTTTGTGACCAGGAAGTGTTTGAATGCAACATGGCACCCATTTTTTCTGATTTCCTGAAATGCACCTCATTTTCAAAGCAACCAATAAAAGAAGTTTGTCTATACGCTTGTGGAGAACGTGAGAGAGTGTTTTGGAGACAGGAGAACAGAATGTAGTCAACATGTTGGTTTTGCTGAAAATGATGACACCAATCAAGGCCAGGTAAATAGTTTTTAAGATGAAAATATAAGGGTAATTTCAAAATTAGCCAAAATGGCCATTTAGACCCCAGACTTTAGAGGGCTCCATTTGTGAACTAAAAGATCTAAACTGGATATTTTAATGCTATATTCACACCGAATGTGTTATGAGCATCTAAATCATGCCCAACCCCTCAAATTGGACATGCTTCGTTCAGATCGGGACAGAGACTAGACGCACATCTGTAGAGGGAGGAGCATCTTGGTTTTCTCCAGTCTGTCTTTAATGGTGGATGAAATAAAGATCAAATAAAGAAAATGGCTTTGCTTTAATTACTGAGAGAAAGCGAACATTGCATAGGCCTACACCAGATAATTAATTCACCAGATAATTTAGAGGCGGTCTGCTCAGTGACTTTCACCACTCCAGGAGCTGYGAGCTGACAAAAATTTTTTTTGCCTTGAGCCCAGTTTAACACCACSAGCTGCTGACCCGCATCGGTGCTGATATCTCCAGCCAGAGCACCAACTACAAGACGATGGATTTCAGCTAAAGAGCTCCTGTCTGTCTGTTTCAGGTTAATGGGCATCATTCAGGAAACGATCATGTGGAAAAATGAGTCTCTCTGATTGGTCAACGCAGCGCGTCGAGCAGCAAAAGTTCAGATTTTTGAACTCGAATGTCGGAGCTTTGGACGCACTGCATGCATGGAAAACACTCAACCACACCGCTTCCTTGCGCGCCATGCAAAATGGCCTAGACGTGCAGCGAGACCCCTAGACGCGCCTCCACCATAAACTTTGCATGTAAACCGGCCGCTCCTGCAGCTCAAAACGCATTCGATGTGAACGTAGCATAAGAAACTTTGACCCTATCTGTCCTCAGTCTTTTAAACATCATCTCTAAAAAGGTTTCAAACAACAGTGAAAATGTTCTCGCTCATTATTATTTGCATCAAACACAAGTATTAAAGGGTTTACTGCAACTTYGTAATCAAAACATTATCAAATTTTACCTAATTTTGTGCAACTTTCTTTTGTTAAGAATGTGGCGCCATCTATCAACATTAAAAGAGTATTGCAACCAAATAAACAAACATCACATCTGGAGTACAGAAATGACAGCAAAGACAATAAGTTAGCTGATAAGAAAGGGCTGGTTAATATTTTTAATACATATTTTTGTCATAATGCCTCAACAAAGCAGAAAGAGTGACTTGTAAGTTATTATAAGTGATTCATGATGATTTTGTCTGTGACTAAATGTTGCGCTCTGCAGCTTAAAGTTATGCCTTCTAAAAATACCCAAGTTTTAGGGTGGTGTCTTTTTGTGGTCATTGGCTGTGATTCCAGATCAATCACKGTGTCAATTAATTAAATCAGGACTGTGGGCTGATTCTGCACTTTCAAAAAAAAAAATCCTTAAGATTGATCTTGTTGTCTTCCAGCACACAGCTAGAGTCCTGCCTGGTGGAGAAAAAAAAAGTTTTTCTTTAGTTAAAAACCAATGAGTCACCTTCAAATCATCATAATTTAAAATGTGCTATGAGATATTTTTAATTTACACCGAAACGAAACAAAGTGAGTCCAGAAACACAACACATAGATACAAAGATAGAAAAAAATGTGTGARAGGAAACTGTAGCACATCCCAAGATGTTTAAAGACTGCTTTAATTTGTCTGCTGACTTATTATCATTGCCTCTCTGCTGTATCGGTCTCATTTTGTATTAATTAACTATTTATTCTGGCTGTTAGGATAGGRATTTCACTTTTATTTCAAAGAGCTTTACTGCTTGAAGACAACCGTGTAGAAGGCCGACCCAGGGGTACTGATTACTCATCGAAGCAWAGAAGTCTTACCACTTGATTTGGGGATCCCAATAAAATAAAGCAGCCTGTGTTTCCCTTTTGGCAGCATTGTGGATGTACATCAGAACAGAGCATAAATGAAAGAAGTTCCATTAGCTGCTGTGAGAAATTCTGATATRGCTTTACTGAGGGAGAAGAGATGAGTAGGGGTGATCTCAAATTGGATTTATCACTTCTGGGTGTGTTCTGAATGATCACCTCCTTAAAGTAGGTGTTTAAGAAACTGTTCAAAAAGGGGAAAAAAATTTGGATACAGGGGAAGAGAAAATGTGCAAATGGAGCAGGTTAGAGTAGCCTATGTAAGAAAAATATCCTCATTAACAGGTTGATTGATGCAAGCATGAAAAATATTTAGGTTTTAGAAAATACACACTTGTTTGCTTTAAGGACGTTTTAATCAGGAAACAAACACGTCCTATTTCAATCATGTATTCAAGTCTTACGTCACAAATAAAACTGTCATTCCTTGAAGGAATGCATGCCAAAGTTTTAAAGTAGATCCTATATAATCTGTTTGCACTCAGGGTGTGTTGGAGACGGCTTACAGCTACTACACTCCAAATTTTAGCTCAGTATCTGTAAAATTGATTGAGTTAGTCTTTTATGTGTTATCTAAGGTCGACCATCAGTGGTCCTCTTCACTGTCAGACTGAATCTCAAAGTTAATCAGTTATTGATGAACCCTCCAATCATTACTTTCTGAGAGTTTTGCTGGAATCTCTGGTTCGACTGATATTTTGCTAACAGACAGGATGGGTAAATACTGACAAGAAACTGAAGGTCGATTACRTCACAGTGATGAGCTGAAGGCTGTTCAGATTCAGAGGCTCCTTCAGTTGTGACCCACATATGCATCCACCTATTCCCATAAATTGATGAATGGTCCGGAGTATTTATCTATTTTTTTTAAATATTATTTAATGAGGCAAATCTCATTGAGATCACAGATCATTTTTGCAAAGGAAGCCTGAAGGCAACCTATTGTACACAATTTTTGGTCTGTGATGGAAATGGGAATATCCAGAGAAAACGCACATAAGCATGAAGAGARCATGCAATCTCCACCAACCCATTCTCACTCCCAACTCATCACATATTGACGCTTGGTCAGGTACCATCTGCGTCCAGTTTTGGATGCATTAGGTACACCCCTCGCATCAGTTATTAACAAGATGAGACGGAGGAGGAGGAGCGTGTTGTCATATTTTTTGAAAAGAATAGGAAATACACGRCAACTAACYGTCCCAGACCCKAAATCAAACTTCTATTAGCCRTAGACATCCTATCCCTGCCCTTAGTACTTTAAATTAACCATTAATCCTGATCCCTCACACTAACCACAGACCCCCCAAACCAAAGACCYCTATGTGGCGCAACCCGGAAAAGCCATGGGTGTGAATAACTGACGCAAGGGGGTTACCCGACAGACARTACCTGACCAAGCGTCAATATGGTGACGAGTCRGGAGTGAGAACGTGTTGACTTCACACAGAAAGACCTCTGGTCTGAACCGGGGATTGAACCTGAGACCTTCTTGGCGTGAGGCATCAGTGTTTACCACTAAGCTGCCGTGCTGCCAAATGTTTCTCAGCCCACCCTATCCAACTATACGTTGTGGGCCAACTGGGGATTTTTTTTTTTTTGTTTATAATGGCAGACAAAGCAAGAGGTAAAGTGAGTCGGGAGTACAATTTCAAATAAAAATCTGACGGTCCAAAATTTAAAGTTTAAAGCCTTTGTTAGGCTTTTGTCATTAGTCAGAAACCATAATAAAAAACTTTGCATTGCAGTTCCCTTAGTTCCTCATGAATTGCCTCTAAGCTWATTTTGCTAATTTATAATAATTTGCTAATTTCAGTCTTCATTGCTTCTGTTTAGCGCCATCAGTTGATAGGTGACAGGACATACACTGAGGTTAGGCTCGTCCAAATTCACAGCCACTTTCTTCTGGGCTTCACAGTCCACAGAGGACCAAGTGCACATGGACCAAGTAGACTGGGTTCTTTGAAGGATGCAGCCCCTAAATTTAGACACAACCTTTGACTTTAAAAATCACTTAAATAATACAACAAATATCATGCAGTCATTACCAACAACTACACAAAATCATTTAAATATTATCTTGCATAATATAACACTGTGGGGTAGTTCACTAAATTTGCTGAAAAAAGTGGAAAAAATAAAAAGAAACATACTTGAATCATGCATGATTGTTAAAATCTCTATAAAAGCAGAAGGATGGAC